CCACAGCATCTTCTGTATTCTACTCTGTCACTCCTGGGCAGTATCTTTTCACCTCCTCCTGTACCAGTCAGCCATCACCAGATGCTCTACTTCATTTCTGGTCACCACCATCTTTTTCTGGGTCACTGTAGCAGTCTTTCAATTAGTCTCCTTGTCTCGATATTTTCACCTCTCTAATCCAGTCTCTATATGGCAGCCAGAATTCTCTTTTTACAATATAACTCTAATTTGGTTCTCTTATGCTTAAAACTCTTCAATGGTTCTGCAATGCCCTGGGAAAAAGTCCAAATCTATTAACATGACTTTCCAGAAGCTTTGTGATCCATTCATTAACCACTTTTCATCCTCATCTCCCTTTTGTTACCCCGGTGCCTTTAGCAATATAGCAAAGTTTTACTTTTATATTTTAGCTGTGCTACTGTAAATCCCAGATGAAAATGAACAATTGAGTGTGCCTGGACAGAAATATTATGGAGGGAGCAGCACCCCCTAGTGGCCAGCATGGTGTTGGTGGGGCCGAAGAGCGAGAGTTAAAGGGAAGAGAAGAATCTGAAAGGCTACTATTTACAGGGCCACCCGCCCATTTACAAATGAAGCATCTTCATCCATTGCTTCCTGCATTTTGTAGAATGCAAAATCGATGTTCTGAAGGAAGATGGTGTTTTTGTTACTGTCTTCAACTTCAATTTTGTAAAACAGAAACATTTTTCAAATGTGTATTTAAAATATTGCCCCATAATACTATGCTCATAACCTGAAATTTTAACTCTACAATGTCGAGAAATTTCTTCGGAGAGGGGAACAACATGGTCTGACGACAGCAGTTTCTGATGAGCTGACAATACACTGGAGTGGATGCCTCCCTTCCACAGATTCCATGTTTTCCATTTCAGCCATTGGTGGGAGACTTCTGAAGACTAGTGGCTTCTGACAACCTGCTCTTTTCTTGAGACATAAATGTGATTTGCATGATTGGCCAACATCAGGGTTTCCTTGTGGTTTTGTTCTTTATTCACTATCAAGTAGGCAAGATTCTAGAGAGGTCACACCAAGTTTAAAATTTCCAATTTATTGCCAACTGTGGAAAAATTATATGTTGTAGGAGTACTCACAAATGTGGGTATTCACAAGAGTCTGAATATGTGTCCTTTGTGCGTATCTCTGTGTCTATCTCTTCAAATAGATTAAGGAACTGTGAAGAATAACAAATTAATGCGCCCATTTGACTTTCTCTTAAATATCAGAGATATCAGAGAAGTCTTTACTAGGGAGTAATCTGTGGAGGCTGGGCAAAAATACAGGTATTTTCTGTCTTTATCCAGTGGGGTAAATTGATTGCAAAAATAAACAAAATTCTTCCCTCACAACCACTGCCCTCCTTGTGCAAAGTGGCTGTGGTGGATTTGTATTGTACTAAATTAGCAAAGCTGGAACTAGTCTTTCCTAGAATTCCCATCCCTGCACAGTTGGAGGCTAGCAGGCCATAACAGACATTTTGAAAGACAGAAGTCTGCAGCAATGAAACAGCAGCAATATTCCTTTTTACACCTGAAGCTTCTCTGACTCTGGGCCAGGTGCATGTTTAACTCCACGAAGAACACCAGCTTTTCCTGTAAATCACCCATCACAGAAGCTGGAGGCTTGGAGGCAGTGAGGAAGTGATGTGGGTTGTGGTCCATCCTCGCAGGTCCAGTTTCTCCTCCTTCTTCTACTTCACATCCATCTTTCCTTTTTGACTGCTTTATCTGCAGACTTCAGGTTCCAGCATCAGAACTTCGTGGAGGTCTATGGGAACATCAGCCTCCCATAGACTGTTTAACCAGCTACCACAAATGGTAAAGTCAAATTCCTATAGTCAACTCCTTATTTTTATATATAAATATGTATGTATATACACATATATATTTATGTTTATATAAACGTAAAATATATTTATACTCAAAATTTTATATGCAGATATGTATTCATATACACACATACATATGTATATATGTGTATATATATACATATATATGTACGTATATATATTTGTTGTTGTTGTTGTTTTTCCTTCTAGTGGTTCTCTAATGGAGCCCAGACTGACACAGTGTCTTTGTAGCTCCTCCCCTCGAATCTGGGCTTGCCTTGTGACTTGTTTTGGTTAATAGAATGAGGCAGAAGTGACAGGGCCCAGTTCTGAGCCTAGGCCTCAAGAAGACTTGCACATTCTCTCTCTTAGAACCCTGTAACCACCGTGTGAACAATCCCGGGCTAGCCTGTTGAAGAGTGAGAGACTACTCCACGGAGGAGAGTCAAGTTGTCCCAGCCAAGGCCATTCTTGACCCGCTATAACCAGCTGTCCTGCCAAAATACGAGTGAACCCAGCCAAGATCAGCAAAGCTGCCTACTCAACCCCCAGCTGACCACAGATGATAAGTGAGCCTATGGTCTCCTGAGCAGTAATAAATGCACATTGTGTAAGCCACAAGTTTTGAGGTATTTTTTCCCACAATAAAGGCTAACTGATGCATCCAGCATGTTAATTTTTCCTTCTTTTATTGTGAAATATACAGAAAAGTACATAAAACATATATAAGTTTAACAAGTCATTATAAAGTGAAAATACATGTAACCACCCCCTAGGTCAAGAAAAAGAGCATTGCCAGCACGGAAGAAGCCCCACCTTCCCCCGCCATGTTGCTTCTCACTTATTCCCCCACCCCGCCCCACTATCTTGACTTTTGAGATAACCATTCCCTGGCTTCTTTGGATAGCTTCACCATGTATTAGCGAAAACAGTATCATTTGGTTTGCCTGTTGTCAGCCTTTATGTTCTGTATGATTTCTTTTTTGCCTAGCTTATTTTGCATTATATTAATAAGATTCCCCCATGTTGTCCTGTGTAGCTATAATCTGTTCATTTTCATTGCTACATAACGTCCCATTTTACAAATATACCCAAATTTATGGGTACTTGGGGTATTTCCAGTTTGGGACTATTACTAGGCTTCAGCTTTAAGTATTCTTGTATATGTATCCTGGTGTACTTGTGCGTGAGTTTCTCTAAAGCAGTGGTTCTCAAATTTTTGATCCCAGAATATTAAAAAATAAAAATTAAACAAATTAATAAATATAATTTTAAAAATTTGAAATTACTGAGATCTGAGACACTTAAATATATTTATTAATTCATTTAATATAACAATAATAAATCCATTACATGTTGTATTTGTTTTCTGAGGGTGCCATAACAACTTACCACAAACGTGGTGGCTTAAAACAAGAGAAATTTGTTCTCTCGGCTGTGGGGTCCAGAAGTCTGAAATTAAAGTGTTGCCAGTGTTAGTTCCTTCTGGAGGCTCTGAGGGAGAATCTGGTCCATGCCCTTCTCCTAGCTACTGGCGGCTGTGGCAATCTTCAGCATTCCTTGGTTTGTAGACGCATCACTCCAGTCTCTGCTTTTGTCTTCACATGGCACTCTCCTGTGTGTCTGTGTTTGTGTGTCTCAAATCTCCCTCTCCTTTCTCTTATAAGGATACCAGTCATTGGATTTAGGGCCCACCCTAAATCCAGGATGATCTCATCTCAAGATCTTTAAGTTAATTACATCTGCAAAAACCCTATTTCCAAGTAAGGCTGAATTCACAGGGACGGGGAGTTAAGACTTGGACACATGTTTTTGGAGGGACACAATTTAACCCACTACACATGTTAACATAAATAACATATTTTTAAATGAAAAATAGCTATGTTTTCCAAATAAAAATTTAGTGATAAGAGTGACATTGCTTTACTTTTCTGTAAATCCCTTTAATATCTAGATTCATGCAAGAAGCTGGGGGCTCATCTGCTTACATTACATTCAATCCATTATTTGCTGTTTTGGTTGAGATATATGATTAAAATCCAGCCTCACAAGGACAATCTCAGACCCTGAGTTTCAGAGGCCCCCAGGGGTCTTTGGAGCACACTTCGAGAACCACTGCTCTAAAGTATATGCAAAGTGGAATTTCTAGGATATAGATATACAGGTATATATCTTCTACTTCATTAGATAATGCCACGTTGTTTTCCAAAGTGGTTGTATCAATTCACATTTCCACCAGCAGTGTATGAGGAATCTTGTTGCTCTATATGCTCACCAATATCTGGTATTGTTACACTTTCAAAATTTTGTCTATCTCTTGGTGTGTAATGTATTGCATTATGGTTTTAAACTTATTCATTTATTCAGTCATTCATTCCTTGTTTGTATTACCATTTTACGTATGAAGAAACTGAGGTTGAGAAGAGCAATGTTACTTGCCCAAAGTCAAGAGTTGGAAAATAGAACCCATATTTTCTACTTTCAAATTCATTCTTCTTTCCACTCAGACACATTTGCTTCTGTTTCTGGCCCAGTTCCCAGGAAGGTGCAATCTCCCCCAGATCTCATCTCCTCAGGGCTCCTTGCACCACTGCAAAAGCTTTGGGAACGCCAGCCCACTAGAGGTCCTGCATCTCCCCCCTCATCAACACCCCTCCACCCTCCACCACAAACCCCCCTCACTTCCCTGCCTGCCTCCTACCCACCTGCCTCTATTTCCTTCTCATTAAACCCTCTACTCACCCTCTGCTGACCATCTTAAAGAGCATGAGCCTTACCGTGGTCCTTTAGAAAAAAAGGAATAATACCTAATTTGTATTTATATGCGTAAGAAAAAGTATAATTTAAGAAATAAACAACTGTTAGCACTATTCATATTACCTACTTTTTTTTTTTTTAAGCACTCTAACACAAACCAGTGATGTGATCACAGGCAAGTTACTCACCTTTTTGGATCCTCAATTTCCTCATCGATAAAATAAGCATAATAATACCTACCTTATAGGGTTGTTTGAAGGGTCGAAAGACATAATATATGTAATGTCCCTGGTGATAAGGAGTGCTCAATAGATGTTTATTTTTATTTAACAAAAGCTTATCTAATGCTTACTATATGACAACCACTGTTCTAGGTACTTTTTCCAAATATTGAAGCGTTGAAATAATCATCTGGGTTAGGTATTATTATCCTCACTTTACAGATGCAAAGACTGAAGCAGACAGGTTAAGCAAGTGGACCAAGGTCACACAGCCAGTAAGTAGCAGAGCAGGAATTAAAATTCCTGTAGTCTGGTAGTCCCAGACTTCGCGCTCTTTGCTAAATTGATTTCCCCAAATATCCGTTATTATTTATGAGAAAACTCTCAGCAAATTGCAAAGCGCTCTACCACCGGTGAGAAGCCCCCTAGAACAAAAGGAGCTCTTCACAACTCCCCAGGAGCTCCCCCAGCGCTCGGCCCTCAGACAGACAGAACCCCGCGGACCACCTGTTCCCAGCTCGCACCGCCCCACGCTCCACAGGGCCACCCGCAGGCCACACCCCTTCTTCTGGCCCCGCCCCGCCACGCTCACTATGCTGGCCCCGCCCCTCGCCTCAGGCGGCCGCAGCGGCCGAGCCGACGCCTTGCGAGCTTCCACGTACGCGCTCCCACGCCTCTCCCCGTAGCCTAGTGAAAGCACATCCGGGTCGCTGGAGCAGGTGCCTCAGGCCCCTCCTCTTCCCCTAAGCGCTCGCCCCCACTTCCGGCCACCCGGGCCTTTTCCGCCTGTTCTCCGTTGGCTTTATCTCTGCTCCCTAGGTCGGTCCCGGCTCCGGGCGCTGGTCCCACAGCACCCCTCGCTCGCACCCAGCGGTTCGCGCCTCATCCCGAATCTCTCCGAGGCTCGGAGCAGCTCTGCCGTGCGTCTTCGCGGGGCGGCCGGGGCTGAGGCCTGCCGCGGGCGGTGCGTCCTCGCAGACCTGACCCCGCATCTCCGCGCAGCTCGGTTGAGGCAGCCGCCGTCGCCGTCGCCTCGGGATGCCGCGCCCGGGGGCCGCGCAGCGCTGGGTGGCCGCCGCGGGCCGTTGGAGCTGCAGGCTGCTCGCGCTGCTGCTGCTGGTGCCGGGGCCCGGCGGCGCCTCTGAGATCACCTTCGAGCTGCCCGACAACGCCAAGCAGTGTTTCTACGAGGACATCACGCAGGGCACCAAGTGCACCCTCGAGTTCCAGGTACTGCGGCCTCTGGAAGTTCCGGGGCCCCAGCTCGCGGTTCCGGGGTCGGGGCTTCAACCTGCGAGGTGTCCCCCTCCTGTCCGTGTTTCTCCGTTCTTGGCTGATTCAAGAACCACCTCTAGGTAGCTGATGCAGGGCATTTGGCTTTCCTCCTCTAAACCTTGGGTGAGACATTTAAGACTAAATACTAAGACCCGTGAATTCCAGAAATGCTTCCTGTAGCTGTGACTTCCTTCCGTTCTCTACTGTCCTTCATTTTAAGGCCTACTGAACTTTTTTCTTTACAAGAGTCTCCTTCTAAAAAAGTTATTCCTGTTCTGTAGTGCCCAGTGTCAATCCCCCACTCTCTGATGCACACGACCACTTTAATCAGATTCGAAGTACTGCCAATATCTTAACTCCATTGCTTTTCAATTTTTTCAATGATGTTAGGACTATTGGTTAATGCTGTCTCTGTCACTGGAAGAGCTCCATTTGAGGCCGAATGACCGTCTGCCAAAGGTGTTGTTGAAAAACATTGCTGTGATAAATGAGAAGCCTCTTCTCATCTTTGGGATTATATAAAAAAGAAACTTTATTTAACAGAATGTAGTTTCTTAAGTTGGTTAGAAAATCTTTACTCTGTTTCTATTTTTGTTGGTAGACTTATTTAACATACTTGAGCAGCTATAGAGTGCTAGGTGCCGGTGATACAGAAGTGATCAAAACAGATAGGTCGCTGCCATCATTCTTGATTCCCTACCCATCCTACCCTTCTTTTCTTAATTAGTACCTGTTCATTCATCAACACTGATTTAGAAGCAGAAAATAGGAGATATACTATCCAGTCTTTGGTATCTATGAAGGCTTTAGGAAATGGTTTTAAGTTGAATTCTAAAGGATGAGTTGTAAAAACTTTGTTAAGGAGGAAGAGGAAACAGCCTTTGCAAGGTCTGTGCCAGAGGAAGGGAGGTCAGTGGGGGCCAGACGGTGTAGTGCCTTGCCAGCTGTGTTAAAGATTTTAGTTTTTCCTAAGAGTATGAGAAGCCATCAGAGGGTTGTAAGCAGGGCGGTGACATGATCCAGATATTCTTGGTAGCTGTATGGTTATCGTGCAGGTAGAGAAAGTATGACAGAGTGTTGCTGAGTGGATATAGAAAACCGATTAGGAGGCTTTTGTAGTGGTCCAGGCTTAGACTAGGATGGTAGCAGGGGGGAAGGAGAAAAGTGAAAGGACTGGAGAGAATTTAGCAGGTACTAAAATCGACGGGACTTGGTGAGGTTTTAGCTATATCATGAGTGAGGAAGAGGAGGCTAAGGATGACCTTTAGGCTTGCTTAACTGCATGGATTAGGACTAGGGGACAGAAAGGAAAATAGCAGGAATTGTAATATAAAGTTTTGTTGGAATTTAACAAACATTTTTTGAATTCTTATATTTGCACACACTGTGCTTGGTGCTGAGACTAATACCACTACAACTCTTAATAGGCTAAAAAATTAGCATCTGTTATGTGGCAGACAGTATGCCAAGCATTTCAGGTGTATTGCATAATTCTCAGGACAATTTGACATGAAATAGGTATAGTTCTTATTCCTTTTTTATTGACAAAAATACTGAGGCTTTGATAGGTTAATACCCAAGGTCACGAAACTTAGCAAGTAGCAGAATCAGTATGCAGTCTCAGGTTAAATTCTTAACTACTTTGTTATACCACCTCCCAAAGATAAATAAGACTGATCTTGACCTCAGGGAGCCTGCGTAGACAAATACAGTCATATAATGTTAAATGCAACAATGCAAGTACACACTACGTATAGTGCTGGGAAAGGGGGAGGGATCGTCATGAGAAATTAGCTGAGGGGCTGATGTTTGAGCTGAGTCTAGAAGGAGAAATAGGAGTTACTCTACAAGGTGGCAGAGGGGAACAGGATAGCCTAGGCAGATATGTTATGTTTGTGAGACCTAATTCCAGAAATTAGCCTGAGCTGGCACTGAAATACACTATTTCAGTAGTGTTGCTTTGTAACCATAGGTCCAGGGGCTTTGCGGATGGTTTGACCAGTTTGTCAGCATTGTTTATTGATAACAGTGAGATTGATGATTTGTACCTGGTCTACATGAGACCCACAAAGGCTCTGCTATGGAGCCTGGTTACATAGTAGGAATATGCCTGTGTGACCAGCAAAATATAAAAAAAGCCAGCCAAGATTCTATTTTGGGCTCACTGGTTCCAAGGTGTTCTTTGCACACTTGGGTGGTTCCTGATCTGAGGGAAAGTATATGTCTGGCCACTTCCCACAGAGGGAGGACAAAGGAGCCCACCCCTGACCTCTGCTGATCTCTTCCTATGAGACAACTTTTGGCTGTGATGTTTTATATTGTGTTCTTTTCCTGTAATAAACTGTAGATTTGTAAGCATTGTCATTTAGGGTCCTATGATTCAGACAAAACCTGTTTAACTTACCACTGTTAGTGCAGTTGTAAAGGAAGGACTTGTTCACAGGGTTTCTGGCAATTTAGTCTTTTTGGAACACAGAATGAGAAAGGGTATAAAAGAGGTGCTAAGAGTACCTTGAGGAGGTGCAGGGGATTGGTATGCCATTGTTAACAGGTTTGGATTTTTCCCTAGGCCACAGGGAATTATCAAAAGGTTTTAAGTGAATGGGGGATGGGGAAGGATGGAGCAATTGCCCTCCCACCACCCCCCAGGAGACATGTGGGGAGGGGGTGCTAGTGGCATCTAGTGGGTAGAGACCAGAGATGCTGCTAAATGTGCTATAACGCACAGGGCAACATAGCCTCCTACAACAAAGACTTATCCAGCCCAATTTTCTGAGATTGAGAAACCCTAGATTAGAGGGAGGCGATTGGGTAGTGGGAAGTTGTGGCAATACTCCTGTCTGGATTGTAGATTAAGAATGGAAGAGATAGGATGAATTTGAGAGAGGCAATACCATCAAGAGATTTCTGTGATTAACTGGACAGGTAGGGACGTTTAATTTGGGATTATTCCCAGTTTCTATCTTACGTGACCAGACATGTAAAAGGGTACTTTTATCCAAAATAAGATTACTTGTTTTAAAGTTTCAGGGAAAAAAAGTGGCATGATAATCAGTTCTGGTCCTATTCAGTTTGTATATGTATTTGATGATTCAAAGTTCAACAGTCAAGAATGAATAATTGGGTATATAAAAATGAAGTCATTATTTTCACCTAGAGGAAAGGTTGTTGACTTTTGGGGGGAGGAGTAAATGTCCAAATGATAAGAAACTGTTTTTATGTCAAAACATTATATCTGTATATTAATATTTACGTATTTTTACAGTTTCCTAAGTGCATAATTATATTTCATTTAATTAGCAAAATGATTTTGTAACATAGTTCAGTTATTCATCATATCTCTTAGGTGACAGAAGGTCACATAAGTAACCGATCTTTCCTTGAAGTCCCAAGTTTGGTCTCTGTTCTGCAGATCTAGAATGTCAATATTATGCTAACCAAGAAGGTTCAAGCTTGAAAATACAGACTTGTGCCATCCAGTCTCATGATGGTTGGACCCTCAAACCCAATGTTTCTTCTTCATCACTACTTTCTCAAGTGGATACATGCACCCTATGTTTCTTCTCCTGTCTCCTCTCCCTCTTTCTTCCCACTCAGTTTTTTCTCATATAAAGAGGGCTTTCTCTTTTTTAATCCTTTTCCCCTTTTTTCTCTTATTATGCTTGTCCAGTTACCTCAGGAAAAATCCCTCCCTCCTCTCTTCGTTTGTACAACCTAAATGGCCCAAATTATAACTGATTAAGCATAAAAAGCCCTTGAAAATAGCTCCAAAATCCTCTTAAAAAGCATTTCATTTACCCTGACTTTGCTTCCAATATGCTTGCCCTTAAGTACAAGCTTTCCAGATAAACAAAAGATTCGTTTGTTTTTGTGTTCTGTTTTGTTTTTGTTTTAATCACAAGTGTATAAACAATATAGTTTAATCCTTTATGTTTCTCTTGGAAACAGGTTTGTAAATGATGATATACTCTCAGAACAGCCCACAGGTCTATTCAGTTCATAATGTAGTTCAAAGCAAAATATGGATCAAATTCCATATAACTGACCTCTAAAAGAACTTAAGAAACGCAACCTGTTTGTAATTTGGCAGTAGAATGAGTTTAAGTTCTATGATACGAGTATGCTTGGGGTGTCATGCTAAGGACTGCCCTACTTTGCTACCTCACTACACTGCCCGTGTGTGTGCTTGAATGATGCTAATAGGAAACTAGGTAAGAAAACTTGGGGAAGGAAATATTACATGGCGGTAAGCTTAAGGTTAAAGAGTGTGATTCTGGAATTGAAGTTCTGCCTCTGCCTCTTACTAGGTGAGTAATCTTGGTAGGTTGCTTATCTTAACTTAGTTTCTCAGTTTGTCAAATGGAAGGGAAAATTAAGGGTTGTTGGGAGAATTAAGTGATATAAGAGATCTGCATTAACTAGAACATTTGTCTGGCTGGTTAACTAGTTCCCTCTCTCCTGTCATGAGGAAATTTGTTCAGGTTCTCTAAAGCTTTAGTTGAACTGAAATCTGCCTCCCAAGTTCCCATCCACTGGTGAAAATCAAAAAATGTAAAATTGCCTGTGATAGTACAAGTCCTTTGCCTATAACCTTATTGCCATTTTAATAGGCTAATTTCTCAAACTTCTTAGTTGCAGTGATCTCTTCATTTTTTTTTCTCGTGATAGGTAATTACTGGCGGTCACTATGATGTAGATTGTCGATTAGAAGATCCTGATGGTAATGTGTTATACAAAGAGATGAAGAAACAGTATGATAGTTTTACCTTCACAGCCTCCAAAAATGGGACATACAAATTTTGCTTCAGCAATGAATTTTCTACTTTCACACATAAAACCGTATATTTTGATTTTCAAGTTGGAGAAGACCCACCTTTGTTTCCTAGTGAGAACCGAGTCAGTGCTCTTACCCAGGTAAATAAAAAGTCAGCAGTATAATGTTGGTGTGTTTAAAGGGGGAGGGCATAGTTTAATACGCATTAACTCAGTGATGAACACAGAATTTTGAGACTTTAACACAGTCTTTAAGGCCTATCTTAATTCTTTCAGTAGATTAGGTATTTCACAGATAATTTAAGCCTTTTTTAGTGAAGACCAATGTTAAAAGATTTTATGAACTTTTAAGTGTAAAGAAAATAAGAAGCATTAAAATAGGAGGATCACTTGGGTAGAAACATCAATAGCAAAGGAATTTACGAATGCCAAACAGTGCTGCAGCATTCTGAAGCATTTTCTGTAATTCATGGAGGAATGGTGCTACCATAACTTAGCAGGTTGGTATAACTGGAAGCAAAATGATGCCTTAATTAATAAAATTAATATATAAATATGCCACGAAGTAGTTTTATACTAGTATTTAGTGTTACTGAAGCTGCTGTTACAATAACTTGCTGTAGCTTAAGGTAAAATATTAAAGATTAATGGTAAGTCATCTAACAAAAATAGTTAAGGAAGCTAAATTGGTATTTATTTTGAAGAAGAGCTTAAGGAGAGAAAGACAGCAAAAGAAATTTAAAGTCAGTGAACAGATACTGCTCAGGTGATGAGAAAGGGCTATTTTATTTCTCCTTCACACACAGTATGAGCTTAGATTATATCTAAAAGATACTCAATTAGATATCCAAAGGAATTATTTACCACCTACTTGTTAAAACCTTAAACTGGTATTTCATTGTTCCCGGATTCTAGTTAGTCTCTTGGCCAAACTTACGTGATGATAGAGGTAGTTATTAAGAATGTGTAAGAGCCTTAATTCATAAACCTCTTGTAACCATTAACAAGATGTATTCAAATGCTCTTATTTTTGGAAATGTCATCTTTATTTTAGCATCCTGTGTGAACGGCACTTTGCTTTGTAAAAAGATTTTTCTTTGGGGCCATTGTTTATAACTTAACCTTCATAAATTTTAATTTGTATAAGAAGGTAGCTTCCTCTGAAAACCTAAGTAGATAAATATAAGAAATGAGTGGTGAGAAAGCAATTAGTACCACTTAACTTCCTTTGTTCCTATCACGTTTTTTATCTTTTCTCAGTTTTATTTTTCTACTTTCAAAAAGCTAATGTCTCTTATATAATAGGGGTACTTATAAAGCAGTTGTTCATACTTTAAAATTGAAAAAATTACTATCTAGTAAATGTGGAATAAGTGAGAGTTTTACTAAATCACCATTTTTTAACCATTAATAAAATGGTGGATCTAGAGTAGGCAGTGATCACCAGTCACTGCTAAAACCATTAGGTGAAAGGCTGATGAGGAACTTTATAATGGATAGATCAGACTGTTATCACCTAAATCTAATGATCATTCACATAATTGGTTTAGGTGACTGGTATGAGGGAGAAGACTTATTTAGCAAATTGGTAATGTAAAAAAAAAGACGTTCCTACTCTGACCTATCACTCTCAGATTCAACTGTTTTTAAAATATGTAAAATAACTGACTAATTGAATCTATTTTTATGCCGTATTTGGTCTGTTTTTGTATATATTTGGACTTTGATTTATATTCTTTTAACTGGTCGAATTTACTGACCTGCCATTCTCTTCCTCTTCATTCTTCCACTTTGAGGAACCTGGGCTTGAAATTCTGTAGCCACCAACCTTAACTGATAAGTATTTCTGCTACTGTTAGCTTAGTGTTCCATCTACCACCTTACAGATGCCACAGCTGTGACATTCTGTTTTGGAACCAGCAGCTGTTTCATGTGATCTCTAGCCTTACCAGTTGTCCTAGTGGGAATGAGTTGCATTGCCAGGACCGCTGGCGTAAATGAGTGAATGAATGAGTGCCAGTTTAGTAGAATGTTAATCAAGTGAGAAATTGAGATCAAATTGAAAGAAAAGATGAGTACGCTAGATGGATTATACAGAAAGTATTAAACCTACTAACTGGAAATATTTCTCTTTAGATGGAATCTGCCTGTGTTTCAATTCACGAAGCTCTGAAGTCGGTCATCGACTATCAGACTCATTTCCGTTTGAGAGAAGCTCAAGGCCGAAGCCGAGCAGAGGATCTAAATACAAGAGTGGCCTATTGGTCAGTAGGAGAAGCACTTATTCTTCTGGTGGTTAGCATAGGGCAGGTATTTCTTCTGAAAAGCTTTTTCTCAGATAAAAGAACCACCACAACTCGTGTTGGATCATAACTACGTTTTGCGAGTTGATGCACCATTGCCACTCTAATATTGCTGTCCTCTAATTAATTTTAGGTATCGAAGAACTTAATATTGGCAACATTTTTAAAACCTTACTCATACACTTGTTGGGGGGGATGTACAGTGCATATCCCCAACTGTGGAAAGGACACCTTTTTTTATTTGTAAAGGTAGAAAAACTTTGGAACTTATTTTGGGCTATTCATGTTAAATATTCAACACCAGTGATCTCTTTTCTTGATTGTTTATATCTCCTCTTCACACACTTTGGTATTTTGATTCCTTTTAGCCATTTAAAAGTACTTTTCTTATTGGTAGTGGGTATTTTAAAAACCTTTGATTTAATGTCTACATTTGTTGTGGAGGAAGAAAATTGCCTTTTAATTGTTTATGGTAAATAAAGTTTTGTTTTTAAGAAAACTAAATGTGATTAACTGTAGCCCAAGCCCTAGTCTGCACTGTTTAATTTTATGGGGGGAAAAAACTACCATAGAAATGTTTGTTAATATTGATATAATTTTAAATTGATACATCATGGTATAATTTATTTCTCACTAGCTTGGAAAATGTCAGATTTTTGCTTTTTGGTTTATTCTATGATTTATAACCAGATATGTTATTTTTTTCAAAAAGACATTCTTACCACAGAAAATAGTATGTTTCTATAACAATAGTTTATACAGGTCTTAAAAATCAGACTTATAAAAAGTAGAATAATTACAGAATAATTTAAGACACTATAGTGGAGGGCAAAGGAAATGAGAAAATTTTTAGTGAATTATCTGGACACATTACATTTTCAGTGCTTTTACAAGGGAAAAAGGAGATCTGTTTCATTTTAACGTTTTAATTGGCAGGTTCTTGCCCTTATGTGGCTTTAATGTCTTTGAGTCATTCCCAGCTTAAATTGACAGTTGTGACATGATTGTAAAAGTACCATACATTTTATCCTGATGAGTGTGATGCACTGAGAAGTTAGTTTCTTTAGGTGTTTTTTTTTCTTTCCTTTTCTTTGTCTCACACATGTAATTTGTATAGTCTCTGGTTAGCAGCCCTAAGATGATTTAAAAATTTAGAATTCTGTGTGTGTTTCTTATTTGATAATCTTCATTGATTGTACTGCATTTAATGAGTATTAAATAGTGCATATTCTGTACACTAAAGGGTTTAGACTGTGTTTGTATTTTATAACTTGTATGGATTGGGCTGATTGAAATAAGATTTTGTTCCAAGTATTCTAGAATAGAATACAAGATGATGCAAAATTGTATAGATGTTTAAAGCTCTTTTGCTGTTTAAAAAAAATTGCAACTGCTTTTTGCCATGCCTCCCTCCCCCACCCAAAAGTGATGAGTACTGAACAAGACTGTCATATTGTGGAGACTCTGATATGTGGTACCATTGAATACTGATTGGATGGCAATTCTAGTCGCTTACCACTGCTGACTAGAAGTTAACTCTTAATTCTAAGCTGTCTTAAAATGCAAATATACACTTCTGCATGTAAGATCAAAATGAATTCAAGTTGTCATGCTTGCTAATTTCAAATGCTACAGTGTAGCAAGGGATGGACATGTTTTCGACCCTTCTAAAATTTTTGAAGACCAAATAGCTACTCTTTAAATAATATTTATCATTGGATTAAGAACTGAAGTTTAAGATTTTGCAGATTTATCTATTTGGGTTCTTGGAGTTGTCCTGCAGCTTTGTTAAGTCTCTCCCTATATTTAGATGTGAATATTTTAAACACTAATGTTAATGTGATTGATAAGCATGGACATATGTTACATGTCCTTTTCTGGTTGCCTGTCTGCTCTATTGAGTTCAGATACTTCTGCCATAGTTAAGCAGAGTCAGGTATCAGCAGTGTGCCAAGTTTGGCATAGATAATGCAGTTATTTAATCTATGCATATCAAAACTTCATCATATTAGACTATTACCACAGTAACTTTTGATGAAACTATTGAGATATATTAAAATTTTTGAAATTGCCGCTGTTAACCTGTTGTAGAAAATAGTACAGACTTGGTCTAGTCTATATGTAACTGGTTGAAGTTTGATAGCTATCTGTACTCAACTGGGTATATAGAAATTAGAAAATACATATCTATCCAGACATAACAAGAACTTTTTTTCCTTCCTCTTACTATATAATTTGTAGCTCATCTTTTTCCTTTAATCCTTTCATAACTTGTTGCAACAGTTTGAATTTCTCAAATATTTGTGTTTGGACATATGGCTCAGAATACATATTTAATCATCATTAGCTGTATGTATTTTTAAAGTAGAATAAATAATGGAAAGGGACTTGATATACAAGTTTATACTAAAACTTCAACTGTGTGAAGATACATTTTAAGATATTACTTTGCTAATAATATAAACATCCTTTTTTCTATTAAAGAAACAAATGGTTTGTGGTTCACAACTTCATCCTGGCTTGATGATAATCAACTTTAAAATACAGTGCACTGAAAAACATTTTTATTCTCTTCATTTAAATCTCTATGCTATCCATTTTTGCTTCAGTTTGTAAATATGTAACATTTGTAGTTAAATAGGACAAAGCAGACTGACTTGTTTTTAAAAGTTAAATGAATTAATATATAAATAATTCAAAGGGGTTTTTCATTTACTTTTGAAAAGAAAAAGAAATTTCTCTAAATTAAACAGATGGTTCTGCAGGATTGCACCCATCAATGCTTGTAGAATAAAAAAATCTTTCAACAACTGACTTCACTTGTTTCTGTCAGGATTTAAATCTTTTTAAGGCTCCTTATAAACTTGCAGCTTGGAGTATGGTTTTGCAGCTAGAGATTGATTGTTTATTTGGTGTTTCATTGAAACATCTTAGGGACTGGCCAAGAAAGAAAGTTAAAGAAGAGAAATACCACCTCTAAACTGCCTCATTTTAACTTTCTTTTTGCATTTCTTACTGAAAGTTTGGGTGAAAGGCAGTTAAGCCTTCAGTTCCCTAAAAAGCTGTTTTTAAGTAAATTCACCTTAGGTTGTGTAATACCAACTTGCCTCAATTTTTTTCCTTCCCTCCGTAATGTAGTCTTAGGGGACATTCTGGTTCCTGGGCACAGTTATACAAAAGTAGCAGAGAATTAACAGTAAATATAGGTTAACATTTATTGAATGCTAACCTGTGCCAGGTGCTGTGCTAAGTATTTTACTTGCATTGCTACATTTCATCTTTGCAATAATCCTATGAAATAGGGTTTTATTCCCATTTTACAGATGAGGAAACAGGCATAAAGAGGTTAAGAAACTTGCCTATATCACAGTTAGTAATTAACAGAGTCCGAATATGAACCATTGCCGTCTGGCTCCAGAGCCCTCTTGCTCAACTACTATGCAGAATTGCCTTACAAACACCAATTAAGGATAGATCTCTGAAAGCTTAGCTATCTTGATTTCAGTATTGTTCAGTAGCAGTTCGGTGCTTTGGCTTTGGAGTCAGAGCCAAGTTCCAATCATGGTTGTCTGACCTCACACAAATGATTTTATTAACTTTGTATATTTCTGTTTTCTTTATCTATTAGTAAGGTAATATCTACTATAATGAGAATATAGTGAGATGTTTATAAAACGCTTAGGATCAGTGTCTATCATATACAAGCACTTAATAAATAGTAGCTGTATTTTTATCATTGGTCCAATTCTGATCTCTTGATGTTTAGTTTCTCAAGTTCTTACTGTGGCCTCTACTCATATGGCTCTTAATATGTAATACAAATATGAAAGTTTTTGACTATCATGTACATAATAGTCTGCTAGAAGTTTCAGAAATAAATAATATAGTCTGACCTCCAGGAACTTAGTTGGGGGAGACCGAATAGCTATATGAGCAACTAATGTTACGTAAGTAGTGAAGCAGAATGGACTCAAAGAGTCTTAAGACAGAAGGGTGCTAGAGGTGGAAGAGAATATATAGGTCAAAAGACTTACTCCCGAGGAGTTTAACTTTATCTCCCCACAGGGGAGGCCCATGGTTGTCTAGCTAGGCCAGTGGGTTAATCTCTAGTTCAGGGATATGGACTATTAGCCAGTCCCTGTTGCTACAGATCAAAAAACATGTTCTTTAACTTTGTTAATAAGGGTGATGTTTGATCTAACGTCTCTATCTCAGTTGTTTCCAAGTTCTGGAGGAAAGTACAGGGATGTTATCCCTAAACCACCAAATGTGCTGTTTTTTAGTCTGCATTTCTCCATTTTATCCACAAGCTATCATAATTAGGAATGATCACATTGCTTGCTGAAATCAAGATATACTAGAAGCTACACTGGTCTGGCATAATCTATTTTTAGTGCTGATAATTACTAGTGATTAGTACTACCTTAAGAAAAGGCAACACAAGAATTTGAGAAATAATGGTTCAAAGAGTAAAATCCACCCATAATCCCATTATTCATTTTGGTGTATTTCAGTTATTTTTATAGATATATATTTTTAAAGAAGCTGGTCTTATACCTCACAGTTGCTTAATTTGCATTACCATGCGGTTAATTATTTTTTCCTCACAGGTTTACTTACCATTTGGATTTCCTCTTTTGTGAAGTCCCTGTTCAAATCATTTGCCTATTTTTAAAAATTGGATTGTTTGACGTTTTTTGGTTAATAGGATCCCTTTATATATTCAGGAGACTAATCTTTTGGTTATAACTATTTCAAATACCTTCTCACAGTTTGTGTTTATCTTTCTGTTCCTAGTGAAATGTATCAGTCTTTTCCTGTATTGTTGGTTTTTTTATGTCTTGTTTAAGAAATACTTCTCTATCCTGAGATCATGAATATCTTCTCCTGTACTATGTTCTAAAATATGTATAATTTTGTCTTCTACTTGAATTTTGTGTATGGGATAAGGTAGGTAACCAGGTTCTTTTTTTTTTTTCTTGAAAACTCATCTTTATTGATTTGCCATGCTAATCGTGTAATCTGTTAAATGCCCATATTTACAAGAGTCTATTTCTGGGCTCTCTGTTCTGGGCTCTCTCAGTTTGTCCATATACCAGTATCATACTGTCTTAATTACTAAAGCTTTTTAAATCTTTGCTATTTGATAATAACAAATCTTTATACCTTGTTCTTCAAGATTTTGGCTGTCATCTGTCCTTTGCATTTTTGTACAAAGTTTAGAATTAGCACAAGTTTCAACAAAAACAAATCTGTTAGGATTTTTACTGGAATTGTATTTAATCTGTAAACAGTTTCCTCTCTATAATAGTGCATTTTCCAGTGAATGTGCATATCTTTCCATTGTTATAGTCTTCCTTAGATCTTCTGATGAAGTTTTGTAATTTTCTTCATAGAAGTATTCTATATATTCTGTTAAATTAATCTTGTTTTCTTTATATTTTTTGATGCTATTGTAAATGATATCTTTAAATTTTTTATTTTTTGTTTGTTGCTGGTACATGGAAATACAATTTTTAAATTGGTTTTTCTGTTCAGTAACCTTACTAAATTATGAATTCTAGTAATTTATCTGTAGATTCTTTTGAATTTTCTGTGTATACAGTTGTATCATCTACAAGTCAGGACAGATTTGTTTGTCTTTCCATTCCTCACACCTTTTGTGTCTTTTCTTGTCTAATTACATTTGCAGGGACCGCCAGTACAGTGTTGAATAGGAGTGGTCATAATAGGCATTCTTGTTTTGTTCCTGTTCTGGGAATGCTTTCAAGGTATCCTGTAAGCAGTTAATGGCATTTTTATTAAATTTAGAAATTTCCCTTCTATTAGTTTGCTCAGAGTTTTTTATAGTCATAAATGATGTTCAATTTCATCAAAAACTTTTTTTGTATTGAGAAAAGTTATTTTCTGCCTTGATTCTCTTGTGGTCAGTTGCATGGATTGGTTTCCTATTGGTAAACCAACTCTCTTTTCCTGAGATAAAGCCAACCTGACCATGATGTGATTTGTTTGCTTTTAATAGCTGGATTTCGTTTGTGTTAAGATTTTTGCTTAATATCAAGATTATAGAGCCTTATAAAATGAGTTGGAGTATGGCTTTCCCTATTTTCTGGAAGAGCTTCTATAAGATTTGCATTACTTCTTCCTTAAATGTTTATTAGAAATCTTAGGTGAAGTATGTTTGGCACCTGGCATCATCTTTGGGATACTGATTTAATTTTTTTTTATTAGTAAGAGTATTTCTTCCTGTGTAACATTGGTAAATTGAATATTCCTGAGAATCTGTCCATTTCATCTACATTTTCAAATTTATTAGCACAATGTTATTCCTGTCCTCTTATCTTTTAACATATGCCAGATCTGTAATGATGTCCCGCTTTTCATTCCTGATACTATTATTTGTAGTATACAAATTTATACTATTATTTATTATACAAGATATTATTTGTATTTTCTTTGTTTTTTACTTGACCAGTTTTACCGGAGGTTTATCACTTTTACTGTTTTTTTCAAGGAGCCAATATTTTGCTTGTTTTCCTTGTGATATATTTATCTGTTTCACTGATTTTAGCTTTTTATGATTTTCTAGGCTGAGTTTAATTTGTCACTTTTCTATATTCTTGTAGTGGATACTTAGCTCACATTTTCAACTTTCTGGTCTAACTTATTTAAAACTAAATGCTGCTTTAGCTCTATGTTAGCTTTCTATGCTACGTAACAAATTACTACAAATTTTCCGGTTTAAAACAGCATACTTTTATTATCTTACAATATCTATCAGATACTGTCTGGGCACAGCTTAGCTGGGTCCTCTGCTCAGGGTCTTACAAGGCTGCTATCAAGTAGTCGCCTGGACTGTGTTCCCATCTGGAGCTTGGGGGTCCTCTTCCAAACTCAGGTTCTTGACAAAATTCAGTTCCTTGCAGCTGTAGTACTGAGGCCTCAGCCACTTGAGGCTGCCCCTCTACATATGCAGTTCACACCATGACGGTTTGCTGCTTCAAAGCCAGCAGGAGAGAATCTGCTGCTCTGAACTGCTTTCAAGGAAGACCTGACAGGATTCACCTGGTTAGGTCAGGGCCACCCAGAATAATCTCCCTTTTGATGAACTCAGAGTCAACTGAATAGGGACCTTAATTGCATCTCTAAAATATTTTCACCTTTGCCATATTCTGTTGGTAAAAAGCAAATTATAGGTTCGGCCCACATGAGGGTGTGGATGGGGAGGAATTTCAGAGGATGTCTTAGACTTCTGCCTACCACGAATTCCATTCTACAAGTCTTGTTACCTATTTTACTTTTTAATTTCAAAGAATTTTCTGATTTCGTTATTCTAATTTGACCCCTAGACATTATTTGGAACTATAATTCTTAATTTCCAAACATAGGTATTGAAGTTCTCTTTTATTGATTTCTAACATAATTGCATTGTGATCAGAGAATATATATTCTCTATATGATTTAAATTCTTTGAAAGTTGTTGACAATTGTTTTATAACTCCATTTATCTCCCCCTCAATTTATATGTTGTCATATATTTTGTATATCTTTAAATATGACAAGTGAGGGCTGGCTCTTCGGCTTAGAGGTTAAGTGTGTGTGCTCCGCTACTGGTGGCCCAGGTTCGAATCCTGGGCGTGCACCGTCGCACCACTTGTCCGGCCATGCTGAGGCGGCGTCCCACATACAACTAGAAGGATGTGCAACTATGACATACAACTATCTACTGGGGCCTTGGGGAGAAAAAAAAAAATATGACAAGTCATTGCTATTGTTTTATATAGTCAATATTCATTTAGATTTACCCATATATTTGCCACCTTCTTTGCTCTCTATTTCTTGCTGCATCTTTGAGCTTCCATCTGGAATAATTTTTCTTCTGCCTAAAGAATACATTTAGGATTTCCTTTAGTGCAGGTCAGCTGGTGGTAAATTCACTTCATTTTTTTTTTTAATGGCTTTATTTTGCCTTCATTCTTTTTTTGTGTGTGTGAGGAAGATCAGCCCTGAGCTAACATCAGCCAGTCCTCTTTTTTTTTGCTGAGGAAGACTGGCCCTGGGCTAACATCCGTACCCATCTTCCTCCACTTTATATGGGACCCTGCCACAGCATGGCTTGACAAGCAGTGCGTCGGTGCGC